ACATGTCAAAAAGCAATGCAAAGCATCTCATTTGCTTTCATCTCTATTATTTTAGTCCATATTGTCAGTGGAAAACTGCTCATTCTAGGCACTTTCATGCAACGGTGTTAAAATTTAGTGCAGCAGTCCTCTCGACTCTTAAACTTCAACACAGCAAAGTTATATGTGGTAGCCATCATGTAGATGAGCTGGTGGAGAAAACACACATGAGAGACGCTGAATCAGTGACGCACGTATTACAGTATACTTTAAGTCAACCCATAACACTGGAAGAGTCTCAGGACACTAGATAGTAGCTACAGTCAATTTTAATACATGTAATGCATTAGTATTGGTTATTTTAGATTATCTTGCTGCTAAATGCACATGCATGATATGTTTAAAAATAATATAAATAAATTAGAAATAATAAAAATATGTGTTTAAATAAATAATATATAAAATATTTATAATATAAAATATATTCATACAAAATAAATGAAATATTTGAAAAAGGAAATAATATTAAAATAAGGTTTACACAATAAAAAGTATGATGTTTGTAAAAAACAAGTATTTAATAAAATTAAGAAATACTCTCAAGAAACAATGCATGGCAAAACCTATAAATATTTAAAATAAACAAGTAAACTGTATAAAGAAAAGCATGCTATCTGTTAAAAAATGACATAATAATTCATTAAAATTAGAAAATAAATAAATAAAATATCTATTTTAGAAAGAAATCAAATTTAAATGTAAAATAGACAGAAATTACACAAAAAGTGGAGTGAAAAGAATGGCAAAACTTTGTATTTTCTAATTACAGTGAAATCTAATTCAATGAAAAAATATCTAAAACAGACAAATAAATGTTTACTAAAAATTATGGTATCTGTAAAAACATAAAACATTTATTTATTCAAATAATTAACATTTATTATAAATTAAATAAAATTAAAATAAGAAAATTTAAATGATCATCACAAATAAAATTTGGTGAATATAATATGTATAATATAATATGTTTCTTACAATTAAAAAATACAAAAATGCTATGCAATGCCTTGATGATAATAAACACTGATCATGTGACACATCAGACACTCCCAGTATTGACGGGGTTATTGATTATAATTCCAATCATCTAGTTTTGCTCAAATTCATTCCAGCAATATTTTGAAAGATTCAACAACACTCTGAATCTCCCATCATGCATGACTACAGAATGCCAGATAACCGAAAAACCATGTACAACAGCATAAACTGAGCATACTTTTAAATAATAGTGAATTAAGCAGGTTTATTTTAGTAGAACGTCTCCTCACTAACTATTAGATCATTCAGAAATAAAGCTCATGGTTTGCAGTAAATGGCGCTGGGAATGAAGGGACAAAAGGAGGAGGAAGAGGAACAAACACCCCAAAAATATACAAACAGAGCTGGGTACTTGAATATATTTAATCAGGAATTACATTAGATGACAAAAATCTGGAGTAAAATACTTAATAAAATATATGTGAAATCAAATCAGTGTTAGCACAAAAGTAATCTAAATGTAATGCAAAAGTAGTCAGATTATGTTACCCTCACTCACAATCCTTCTGCTTAGTCCATGATTTACCAGGGGTCGCCATAGTGGAATGATTGTTACCAAAAAAGTTATCCAAAGTAGTCAGATTAAGTTACTACACAAGTAATCTAAATTTAATCCAATAGTCATATTACGTTACCATAAAAGTAATCTAAATGTAATCCAAAAGTAGTCCAATTACATTAACATAAAAGAAAAAGAGTAATCTAAAGTAGTCAGATTACATTAACATAAAACTAATCTATATGTAATTCAAAAGTAGTCAGATTACATTACCATAAAAATAATCTAAGTGTAATCCAAAAGTAGTCAGATTACATTAACATAAAACTAATCTATATGTAATTCAAAAGTAGTCAGATTACATTACCATAAAAATAATCTAAGTGTAATCCAAAAGTAGTCAGATTACATCACTATAAAAGTAATCTAAATTTAATTCAAAAGTAGTACAATTACATCATAAAATAATATAAGTGTAGTAAAATTGGGTCATATTATGTACTTAAACACTAAAAAAATGAACTACACCGTTCAAATTTACTATGACCATTTATGTGAAGCTGCTTTGACACAATCTACATTGTAAAAGTGCTATATAAATAAAGGTGAATTGAATTTAAAAAATTATGTTACCATAAAAGTAATCTGAATGCAATTCAAAAGTAGTCCATTTAGATTAACATAAAATAAGTGTAATCCAAAGTAGTCAGATTACAGTAACATAAAAGTAATCTAAATTTAATTCAAAAGTAGTCCATTTACATTAACATAAAAGTAATATGTGTAATCCAAAGTAGTCAGATTGCGTTACCATAAAAGTAATATAAATGTAATCCAAAAGTAGTCAGATTATGTTACCATAAAAGTAATCTAAATGTAATCCAAAAGTAGTCAGATGTTACCCTCACTCACAATCCTTCTGCTAAGTCCCTGATTTATCAGGGGTTGTCATAGTGGAATGATTGCGTTACCATAAAAGTAATATAAGTGTAATCCAAAGTAGTCAGATAAAGTTACTAAACAAGTAGTTTAAATTTAATTCAATAGTCAGATTACGTTACCATAAAAGTAATCTAAATGTAATCCAAAAATAGTCCAATTACATTAACATAAAAGTAAAAAGAGTAATCAAAAGTAGTGAGATTTCATTAACATAAAAATAATCTAAGTGTAATCCAAAAGTAGTCAGATTACATCACTATAAAAGTAATCTAAATTTAATTTAAAAGTAGTACAATTACATCATAAAATAATATAAGTGTATAAGTGTACCGTTCGAATTTACTATGACCATTTATGTGAAGCTGCTTTGACACAATCTACATTGTAAAAGTGCTATATAAATAAAGGTGAATTGAATTTAAAAAATTATGTTACCATAAAAGTAATCTGAATGCAATTCAAAAGTAGTCCATTTAGATTATCATAAAATAAGTGTAATCCAAAGTAGTCAGATTACAGTAACATAAAAGTAATCTAAATTTAATCCAAAATTAGTCAGATTACATTACCATAAAAGAAATATGGGTAATCCAAAGTAGTCATATTATGTTACCATAAAAGAATCTGAATTGAATCTGAAAGTATCCAAATAACATTACCATAAAAGTTATCTAAATGTAATCCAAAAGTACTCAGATTATATTAAAATAAAAGTAATCTAAATATAATCCAAAATTAGTCAGATTACCTTATTATAAAAGTAATCTAAATTTAATCCAAAAGAACTCAGATTACAATAAAATAAAATTAATCTAAATATTATCCAAAAGAAGTCCAATTACATTACTCTAAAATATTGTGTAATCCAAAAGGGTCATATTATGTTACCATAAAAATTATCTAAATTTAATTCAAAAGTAGTCCATTTACATTAACATAAAAGTAATATGTGTAATCCAAAGTAGTCAGATTATGTTACCATAAAAGTAATCTAAATGTAATCCAAAAGTAGTCAGATTATGTTACCATAAAAGTAATCTAAATGTAATCCAAAAGTAGTCAGATTATGTTACCCTCACTCACAATCCTTCTGCTTAGTCCCTGATTTATCAGGGGTTGTCATAGTGAAATGATTGCGTTACCATAAAAGTAATATAAGTGTAATCCAAAGTAGTCAGATAAAGTTACTAAACAAGTAATTTAAATTTAATCCAAAGTAGTCAGATTATGTTACCATAAAAGTAATCTAAATGTAATCCAAAAGTAGTCCAATTACATTAACATAAAAGTAAAAAGAGTAATCAAAAGTAGTGAGATTTCATTAACATAAAAATAATCTAAGTGTAATCCAAAAGTACTCAGATCACATTACGATAAAAGTAATCTAAATTTAATTCAAAAGTAGTTCAATTACATTAACATAAAAGTAATATGGGTAATCCAAAGTAGTCAGATTACATTACCATAAAAGTCATCTTAATGTAATCCAAAATTAGTCAGATTACCTTATCATAAAAGTAATCTAAATTTAATCCAAAAGTACTGGAATTACATTACGATAAAAGTAATCTAAATCTAATCCAAAAGTAGTCCAATTACACTACCCTAAAATAATATGTGTAATCCAAAAGGGTCATATTATGTTACAATAAAAATTATCTAAATTTAATTGAAAAGTAGTCCATTTACATGAACATAAAAGTAATATGTGAAATCCAAAGTAGTCAGATTGCGTTACCATAAAAGTAATCTAAATGTAGTCAGATTACCTTGCTATAAAAGTAATCTAAATTTAATCCAAAAGTAGACCAATTACAATAACATAAAAGTAATAAGAGTAATCCAAAGTAGTTAGATCACATTACCATAAAAATCATCTAAATGTAATCCAAATGTAATCCGATTACATTAACATAAAATAATATAAGTGTAATCCAAAGGAGTCATACTGTTACAATAAACGTAATCTAAATGTAATCCAAAAGTAGTCTATTCACATAAGGATAAAAGTAATACAAGTGTAATCCAAAGTAGTTAGATTACGTGACCATAAAAGTAATCTAAATGTAATCAAAAAGTAGTCCAATTACATTAACATGAAAGTGATGTGTTATCAAAAAGTAGTCAGATTACATTACCATAAATTTAATCTAAATGTAATAAAAAATAATCAGATTACATTACTATAAAAGTAATTTAAATGTAATCTAAAAGTAGTCCAATTACATTAACATAAAAGCGATGTGTTATCGAAAAGTAGTCAGATTTTGTTACCATAAATGTAATCTAAATGTAATCCAAAAAGTAGTCAGATTACATCAACACAAATGTAATCTATATTTAATTCAAAAGTAGTCAGATTACATCATAAATGTGCAATCAGATACATTACTGACTACACATTTTGTCATGTAATTTGTAATGTGAATTTCAGAAGTAATCTACCCAGCTCTGTGTGATCATAGAAGAATCTTCTGCTTACCAGAGCGATGACTGTGGCTCCGGCTCCAGCACAGGCCACAATATACAGATGATAAGACAGATAGAACTGAAACAGACGAACACAAATCATGTATATTCACTGCTGGACATCTACAGAAAATAAAGCGATAAAAGTGTTTTTGTTAGATTTTTTTACCTCGTTGGTGTTGCAAATGTCGCCCAGTGTTGAGCCGCATGCTTTGCCCGGTGTTGCGTTCCATGGAATAATACCTGAATGAACAAATTTACTAAAGATCATCAAATGTAAACCCTAAAAAGACAGGTACGTTTTACATAGACTTTAAAATACACATTCCCAGAGGACATATTTAAAATGAACAAAGTTTGAAGTGTAAAAGATGTGTGTACTGCTGAGTGTGGGCTGCTGAATGTGTCGTACCATACTGACGAACGTCCACACAGATGCTGTCGATGGAGGTCAGGTTGGCCACTGGTGAGCGCATGGCTGCGCAGGTCGACCACATGTTGTAGAAGAGAAACACCGGCACCGCAGAGAAGCCGAAGACCCCAAGCCACGCGATCCCAAGGATATACGTCAGAAACACAAACTGAGGAAAAGAAAGAGTTTGGAAAAACTCAGCACAGAAAACTGCAGCGTACAATCTCTCACACTGATTGTTAAAAAAAACATTGCACTTTAATAGTAAAAAAATAGGCAGTTTGAATAGGCGTGATGCTACCATGTCAATATGGAGCAAAATCTCTGAAAAATATTTCCAGTACCTTGTTGAATTTATGCCATGAAGGATTATTGCAGTTCTAAAGGCAAAAGGGGTCCAAACTGGTACAAGTAAAGTGTACCTAATAAAGTGGCCTTGAAACGTAAACACATATATATATATATATATATATATATATATATATATATATATATATATGTGTGTGTGTGTGTGTGTGTGTGTGTGTGTGTGTGTGTGTGTGTGGGTGTGTGTAGTAGTCAACATTTAAAGTGGGTGAAGCTTTTTTGTTGTTCAGCAGTTTTTAAACTATTACCTATAGTAAAATTGTTGTTCAAAAGAAGGTTTTGATCGTCTTCAAACGTTGACTACTTTATTTAATTAATAATCAATGCCGAAAGTGGCTCAATTAACCCCAAAGTGGCTCAATAATAATTAGTTCTGGGTACTGTGCAGGCCATGGAAGATGTTCACCTTCCCTTTCATGTTCATTAAACCACTCTGTCACCAGTCTTGCTGTGTGCATCATCATCCTGATACACAGCTTTAAGCTAGTTAGTTAAATAAGTTAACTAAAACTATTATGTTTTTTAAAAAGTGTCCATTAGACAGAACTTTCTGAGAGAATTAAAATTTTACAGAAGGGTGAATACTTTTGACTTCAACTGCATATGAGTGCATTTGGCTGTACATGTATTCAGCACAGTATGCTTACAGTAGTACAGGTGAGAGATTATCTTTTTATTAATGAAATGATCACTGGAGTTGAGTTGTGAGTGTCCTGCGTGAGTATTCGTACCATCCCGCTGATGCAGCGTCCGCAGACGGTGGTCTTGAACTCGCTATGCAGCTCCTTGACAGCGCTGGTGGTGTAAAATCCCTCAGCCAGCAGAATAATGCCATACAGGAAGAAGAAGGAGGCGATGCCGTAAATGACGTACTGCATGAGCTGAACTCTGCAGAACCAGAAAACACAGCGGTTACTGGTGTGAGAGAGTACTGCAACATCATACTCAAGTAAACGGACCATTACTTGACAAAAGATGAAGTGCAGGTAGAGTAAAAGTGTCTGTTGTAAACACTACTCGCTAATTTTACAGCCCTAACTCAAGTACACATTATTAAAAACTCCTGAAAAACACAACAATGAATACACAGTAATCCGACTAGTAGTCATTTGTTATTTTGCACAACTATTAGCTACTGTAAATATCAATACTCGCTCAGTCTACCAGTGAAGCTGACCGTCTTAAATAAAAGAAATAAAATGTAACCCACTAGCCTAAAGCCTGGTTTATACTTCTGCGTCAAGTGACCGGCGTAACCCACGGCGCATGCAACGCGCATAGCTGTGCATTTATACGTCTGCGCTGTCTCTGATGGTCTGCATTTACACTTCCGAAACGCTAGTTGGCAGTGAGGTGTAAATGTTCCTCTGTGTCGAGTTTCTTCGCTGCTGTTTTGTTTTTCTGAACACTTCCGGGATGTACAAGTGGCTCAAACTCGCTCATTTTGAGGCAGGAACCGGCGGACGAGCAACAACTTTAACTATGAGGTAAACACAAAACAAAACTTTCCATCCGGAGCTCCTTCACGGGACTCCACACTTGTAAACAATCGCTACATTGGGTTCGCGCCATTCGCGCGGCTCTCGGTCCCGCCCCGACTCGTCAGCGCTACCAAGCCGACCAATCACAGAGCTTGCGCTGCGCGTTGTTGCGATGTGTAGTTAAATTTTTTGAGAGGTGCACGTCAGTGACGGCGATGGCCACTGCGAAGGGCTATGCGTCAGTGCCGTAGCATACGCCGGTGTTTGACGCAGAAGTATAAATCAGCCTTAACGCGAGTCAGTTACTGTACACTGTAAAAAATAAATCCGTAAAATTTAAGGTAAAAACACCGGCAGCTGTGGTTGCCAGTACTTTACCATTAAAAACACGGTACAAACCGTAAAAATAATTTTTCATTTTTACGGTAAATTACCATATTTTATTAATTTAAAGAGGTAATATGTCTGTATTTTGAATGATCAACATCTACACATCTTTTGTTACACAGTTAGACACGTTTGCACACCCACATGCAGGAGGTGATGAGGAAGTTACATAATGAGCCAATGCTCATCACAATCAACTTCTCCCACAAGCAGAAAAGAGTATCAGCATATAGAAGGTGCTCAGTGTCATCCACACAGCTACTAAACACCAGTAGGGTAACACGCATAAAATTATAGTCATGAAATAAACATTGTTTGTCAACATTAGATGTAACATAAATCTCTATTGTACATAACTGATGGGGAAACAACTAAAAAGATCCATATTAATGTCAACCAAATGCATAAAAAGTGATGTGCCATGCAGGAAATTCTGGGAAATTTACGTTTATTTGCCGTATATATTAAGGAAACATACCGTTAACCAGGTTACGGATTTGTACTGTAGCATTTTTACTGTTTTTTAGCCTTGAAATCACGGCCATTTTATACAGTGTATATGAAATTAATAAATCTCTAAATGTATGAAATAAAATGTACAAAATAATCGGGAATTAAATTGAAAAAGGTCTCCTTGTGAGATCACTTTCACTGTACTTGTATGAAATGGTTTGATGTTTATTATTATTATAAAAGCATTATACAATTACCTAATTGTAATTAGATCTTGTTCAATTTGATCTTTAAATGACAGCTAGCTAGGTTCTTGAGGGAAAGTTTCAGTTCTCTAGCATTGATATACTATAATTATATAATTATGATATGCTTATGTTAAGTATATAGGTGAATAACCTTTTTATTAGGTTTAAAGGTTAATTCAGCCTTTTTAGTGGGTAAAAACTATTTAAATCATACATTTATTTTTTATTTATTTTATATATTTAGATTTGTTTTAAATGACATATCACCCAGCCCTAGTTTCAATATGAAAACAAACAAAACAACAACAACAACAATCATAAATTACAGTTTTCTGTTTCTACAATTAGCTTTTAAATCTATCGTGAGTTTTGCCATTGTTTTAAATTCATAATAATACCAACGGCTGTTATTTTAGGATTAAATGTTATATACAAGGGCGAGGCGTGTTCGCCTTACAGCAAGAAGGTCGCTGGGTCACTGGTTCGATCCTCGGCTCAGTTGGCGTTTCTGTGTGGAGTTTGCATGTTCTCCCTGCCTTTGCGTGGGTTTCCTCCGGGTGCTCCGGTTTCCCCCACAGTCCAAAGACATGCGGTACAGGTGAATTGGGTAGGCTAAATTGTCCGTAGTGTATGAGTGTGTGTGTGAGTGTGTGTGTGGATGTTTCCCAGAGATGGGTTGTGGCTGGAAGGGCATCCACTGCGTAAAAACCTGCTGGATAAGTTTGCGGTTCATTCCGCTGTGGCGACCCCGGATTAATAAAGGAACTAATCCGACAAGAAAATGAATGAATGAATGTTATATACAAAGTAATACTATTATTAATATATATATTATTAAATGCTTTTCAGTTCAATAGTATTAAGGTTATATTTATGTACAGATTTGGCAACTACAGCAAGCATATAAACTGTTAGAGCTCATCACCGCACATGAGTTTGATTACAGGCTCAGGATGTAGAGCAGAGTAAATGTAAAGCTGCACAATCAGCCGCAGATGTGAGTGGATTTAGCTGTTTGAACTGCTGATCCAGGAGCAGGTGAGTCTTATCATTACAAGACATGACTCTGGAGCTCAGGGAGATCAAATCAACTGATCCGGGGAGATTTACTAATGCTGAATGATGATTGGGTAAACTTCCAGAAGATGCACTCTCTTTCTTTCATTCACTTTCCTTTTAGTTTAGTTTAGTCGCTTTATTCATTAGAGGTTGCCACAGTGGAATGAACCGCCAACTATTCAAGCATATGTTTTACACAGCGGACGCCGTTCTGGCTGTAACCCAGAACTGGGAAACATCCATACACACTCATTCACATACACTCATACTTAGTTCATCAATTCCCCTATTCACCTTATTCTTTGCAGCCATTTGAATCTTTTTGGCACGAGACTTCCGGTCTTATTCACTTCCATTCATTTTTAGACATTAAAAACTGCTCGTTTCGCTGTTTGATGTTACAAACTGATATTTCCTTGTTATATTATTCTACTTGGTCTGTATAGTCATGCAAACATTTGTTTGTAGAGCAAGTAGTTTGACAGTTTTTTGCCGTTTATTATTCCTAGTCATTTCTCCCATAGGCGACTGAATCAGACAATCGCGAAAACAGGCGCACTTCCGCATTTTAGAATAAGGTCAATAGTGAATGTGTTTAGACTATGGGGGAAACCAGAGCAATAGGAAACCCACGCCTGGAGCCACCGTGCTGCCCCTAGGATCATTTAATTTTATATTTAATATATTTATTTATTTTTATGCAAAATGTAAAGATAATACTTAACCAGGACAGACTAAATTAATAAAAAGTGTTAATAAAGCTCATATGTAATGTTAAAAAATACTCTTATACAAGATAAACAAAATATTCTATAATAATGTTGCTATTCTGAATATTTCATTTATTTATTCATTTTCTTGTTGGCTTAGTACCTTTATTAATCAGAGGTCGCCACAGCAGAATGAACCGCCAACTTATCTAGCATATGTTTTACACAGCGGATGCCCTTCCATCACTGGAAAACCTCCATACACTACCATTCACACACATACACCATGGACAATTTACAGTAGTTGATCAATTCCCCTATAGCGCATGTGTTTGGACTGTGGGGGAAACCAGAGCACCTGGAGGAAACCCATGCCAACATGGGGAGAACATGCAAACTCTACACAGAAACGCCAGCCAAGGCTTGAACCAGCAGCCTTCTTGCTGTGAGGCGAGAGCGATACCCACTGTGCCACCGTGCCGCCCTATTTTATTATTTATCAAAGCAAAATTCACAAAATGAAAGTCATCATGATTTCCACATAAATATGAAGCAGCACGACTGTTTTCAACACTGATAATAATCAGAAATGTTTCTTGATCATTAAATAATCATCATATACTGATTTCTGAAGGATCGTGTGATTAAGGACTGAAGTAATGATGCTGATATTTCAGCTTTACGTCGCAGAAATAAAATACATTCGGCTATATATTCTAATAGGAAACGTTATTTTAAATTGTAATTCATTTAATAATTTTAACAAATTTTTTTTTAACAAATGACTTTATTTTTAATAATTAATTAATTAAAAAAAATTACCAAAAAAGGTCTTGAATGCATAATTGTTGTGTGTATACAGCTCATACAGAACATTCGCCCTCCTGCAAATTGTTTATTCTCTTTCAGTTATTTCCCAAGTGACAGATTCAGGAATTTCTCACAGTGTTTCCTCTAATATTTGTTCTTCTGGAGAAAGTCTTATTTGTTTTATTTGGGCTAGAATAAAAGCAGTTTTTAATTGTTTTAAAGCCATTTTAAGCTCAATATTATTCACCCCTTCAGCAATATTAGTGTTGGATTGTCTCCAGAACAAACCACTGATATACAACGACTTGCCTAATTACCCTAACTTTACCCTAATTACCCTAGTGAAGCCTTTACATGTCACTTTAAGCTGTATACTAGTGTCTTGAAGAATATCTAGTGTAATATTATGTGCTGTCATCATGACAAAGAGTCTCGACTGGGTCAGTTGTCGTTTCTGTGTGGAGTTTGCATGTTCTCCCAGTGTTGGTGTGGGTTTCCTCCGGGTGCTCCGGTTTCCCCCACAGTCCAAACACATGCGCTATAGGGGAACTGATCAACTAAATTCGACATAGTGTAAGAGTGTGTGTGTGAATGAGAATGTGAGTGTTTTCCAGTACTGAGTTGCAGCTGGAAGGGCATCTGCTGCGTAAAACATATGCTGGAATAGTTGGTGGTTCATTCCGCTGTGGCAACCCCTGATAAACAATGGACTAAGCCAAAGGAAAATGAATGACTAGTGTTGCTCACTCACATGTCGGTCAGCATGGCGTGGTCAGCGGTGATTCTGGAGAAGTGGTTTTCCAAGATGGTCATGGTTCCAGTCAGAGCCACGTGTCCACATCCGCAGAACAGAGCCACACCGGAGAAACACAGGATCGTGGCCACCAGAGATGCATACGGCACACCGCCCAGACATTTAATACAGCACTCAAAACAACCTGCACACACACACACACACACACACATGTACATTAGGACACTAATACGTCTTTGTTTATAGTCCACATGACAGTTTTTTTTCCTTATTGTGACGCAATCCCTAGAAAAGCATAATTTTAAATGGAGACAGTGGGCGTGGCTTGTTTTTTCTACTGCGAGCTGATTGGATGTAGTGCAGTAGGCATTAAAGTCCTCCTCACCAATTGTGTTTATTGTAAAATTTGACAGCTGGAGGGGCGTGGTTAAATATGTTAGCCCCGCCCAATACCCTAAAATGGACATAATCAGAGCACTGAAAACAAACAGGAAGTGCTTTTTTAGATTGGGATTGCAGATTACAGGGGCAGACATTTTTGTTTTTAATGACACGCACAGTAAAACGTATCACTGGATCACAGTGGATAAACGTGACAATGCTATGTTTGAGCTGCAGTGTGGACTGTGAAAACCCAGGCTTTGGAAAACAGACATGTGACCAATTAAAAACAAAAACAAAACAAAAAAAAAACCCTACAAAAAGTACCAGTAATGATAAGTGGTATGGATAAATGCAGTATTACTGTTAAAACCTTAGCAATGTCCATTCCTAGTTGCGCCTCAGAAGACAAAGAACTGGAATACTGCATGCAACACTGGTGAATAATCCAATAAGCATTTCCATCCAACGAGAAACAAGAGAACAAAATCCAGTTGATGACGTATGCGAAGACCGGAGGGAGGACGTTGTTTGACAGAGTGCGCGCGACGTGTCTGAAGAGCGAGGAGTGATCTGGTGGTGAGAGTTGAGAAGGGTGCAAGAGTTATCGGAGGACCGAGAGGGAGACACGTGCTTTTCGGGAGATTATCAATCGTTTGCGGGCATCTGAGAGTCTCTATGCATTTGCGGGAGACTCTTGGAACTTCTGGGAGACTTGGGATGTCTGATGTAAACACGGCTATAGACTGATTTCAAGCGGCCACCATTTTTTAAAAGCGAAGTCGAGGCTGCGGTGGAAGGAAACTCGCACGTATCATTGGGGGTTACATAGGAATGTTGTGTAGCTGGCTGTATATCTTATCAGCGAAGAGAAAGAGATATAAATTTTTAACTTAACCGCCTTCCCAGTGACACGAAGGTCCTCTCTGAATGAATGGTGAAAATAAAAGAGATTTCAGAGCTCATTTTCAGCTAAGTTAAGGGAAAAGGCACTAGTTAGCTAACGTTTTCCTTCCCAAACACATGTTTTAGATGCCTTTTATCAAACTCGAGTTAATAAACTGACTCTTTCACTATATTAGACTCATCACGATACTGAATTTAAAGAAAAAACGGTAATTTCCCGTTAACATTTAAGGCACTGTTGATGGCTTTCTTAAACAGCGCTGATTTGCCATTGTGTTCACTTGCTCAACAGAAATGCTTGTGATTGGCCGAGAAGGTCATCAGTTCACTCTCCGCTGTTAAACAAGCACAAACAGACGAGCGATCCGCTTAATGACTCGACTGATCTCACTTCAGATCATTTTGGAAGGGCACTTTCTATCCAAGACGAAAAAGGGCATGCGTACTGCACAGGTTGAGTCCAATGTATGCACGTGCCTGGGCTGAAGCAGGAAATCGTCCTCATGGTGTTTGACTGCCATGAGCTGAAGCCTAGGAGGACACTGAAGCGTATCACTAAGATTGTGATGTTGTTTGATGTTAAACTGCTTTTAATTGTTTAAATTAAACTTACTGAATGATATTAAAGTGATGTTTACACCATTTCTGCATTTTAAAAAAATCTTGGCAACAGCTGGAGGTGTGTAGTACACAGCATGTTACTGCAATGTTTACAGTGCTGGACCTACACTTCCGGGTTTCTTCCCACCGCAGCCTCGCTTTGGTTCTTTAAAACGGCGGCCGCGTGAAATAAGCGTATTGTTTAATATCACAGAATGAGGACAAATTCATGCTTTCAGTTCTCTTTTGGCACTTTAAACTTGAAAAAAAAAGTGCTTAAAAAAAAGAACAAATCCTTTGTGTCATAAAAAATATGAAAATAATTCACAGCATGAGTGTCAGCTAGGGTTGTAACGGTATGAATTTTTCACGGTATGATAATCGTCTAAAACAATACCACGGTTTCGCGGTATACGGTATGTTACAAATGTTACAAAATAATAGAACAGTGAAGCAAATTTGACTTTTTCTAAATAATATATTTTTAGTTACTATAAACAACACCACTTACAATGAACAAATAAAAATAAGAAAATAATAAATAATGTGTCAAAGTCCAAATAAAGTCCAAATAAACATGGTGCAAATCCTCAGTAAAAAATAGATATAAATATTTACTATACTATAAATAGTTACATAACGAAACTAGATTCAACATGGAACATCCTTAGGTTTTATGTGCCAGCATGGATATGGTTGTCTGTGGATATGGATTTGGATATGGTTGTCTGCAATGCAGACAAACAGCTGCACCTTCATTTGCGTCTTTTGAAAACAGCAAGAGCAGCAGTTCGTCTTTGCTGTGTCACTGTTTTGTCATGTTTCTGTGCTGCTGTGCATGCAAAAGTACTTAGTATGAGAATTATTTCATGCAAAACTTTTTTTTTTTTGCGTTTTATTTAGCCGTGCAGAAATGTATGCCTATCTCTCATTCTGTGTTGTTCAAAAAGCTCATTGTTGGTCCACAAACAAAAGAGAAACCTATGCTTATTGGTTGTGATATAGCGAGTTTGAACCAATCTGGGCATGGAGGAGGGACAATGCATCAATGTATCGTGTCTGGTTTGTCCGGAGACACAGTGACGAGCGTTTCTTTGTCAAATCAGCGTTGTCAAATTTTGATGACGTAACCGCACTGATTCCGGAGCCTCTGAAAGTCCGCGAATGTTATGTGATACAGCACTGGAATGCTGAGATTCTCTTCTTTATGCCAATCTTTGAATTGTATGAATCGGATCAGCGGATCAAAAGTTATTAAACATTTAAGAGCAATACTTATTTTTAGCCGCGGGCGGCTGTCTCTGTCTTTAAGGGTTAAAACCGTTGATATGCAATTGTTCATGGTATGATAATCGTGCACGTGCTCTGCTCTTGTGTGAACTCTTCCTCTAACAAAATGTGCCATCAAACCAAGAAGAGCTTAATTAAAAACAGAGCAAAGCACAGAGTGTGAAAACATGCTAAGATAATGAACAGTGTGTGTGTGCGTGTGTGTGTGTGTGTGTGTGTGTGCGTGTGTGTGTGCGTGTGTGTGAAGCCATTAAAATATTTAAAAGTTCTTGCTCCAGTTCCTCACAAACAAAACTGCACAAAGCAATAAAACAACACATGCATGCTTTGGCCATTGGTTATAAAGCACAGAGAGCGCATGTAAACAAGACCGAGGAGCAGAAAACAGCACTGCACAAACACGCATGGAAAAAACAACATCTTAAACAAATCACAGGCACAGATGGAGCTTTATATGGGAATATGGGCATTCCTTTACTTTCCTTCGGCTTAATCACTATTTCACCAGAGCGGAATGAACCGCCAACTATTCCTACATATTTTTTATGTAGCAGATGCCCTTCCAGCTGCAACCCAGTACTGGGAAACACCCATACACCCTCACATTCACACACAAACACACTCATACACTACGACCATTTTAGTTGATCAGTTCCCCTATAGTGCATGTGTTTGGACTGTGGGGGAAACCGGAGCACCCAGAGGAAACCCACGCCAACACGGGGAGAACATGCAAACTCCACACAGAAATGCCAACTGACCACCCCCACATTTTTATTATTAAGTTAAAAGCAAAGTACTGCAAGAAAATAATTATACATATATATTTTTTACATGACAGTACACGCATATAATATTTGCACATTAAATGTCCTGAATGAAATGTTATTCTGCAAAATATTTAGAAAATAATGGCATAATAATAATGGTAATGGTATGTGTTCGGTTTTCATGCAAAGTTGCTTAAACTAAAAACATGAGTAATTAAAACAGTAAATAAAATAGGTTGATTTCTTATTTAATTAAAATGTTAAAAGAGCAAAAACAGATCACTTTCATTTGCTTAGCTGTTTATTTATTACAAATAAATAACTTTATTATTACAGTTTTATACAAAAATAATATTTAATTTGTTTTAATAAATCATGTTTTGTGCAAATTAATTTTAACTTAATTACTTCTTTATGAAAACCAAGGTTTACAGAAGCCTGAGGAGCAAATCAGTGCGGTTTCGAGATTATATGTCATTATATGTCATTATAAGACTTTTGAATAATACCATTTCTTAAGCATTGTTGATAGCTAGTGTTAAAAATAAATAAATAAATTTGTTAAACTAGCATAAATTGTTAATATTACAACAAATGGTGAAATACTGTAGGTATTTAACTATTAAGTTATTCTCTTCAGAGATTTTTTAAAAATAGGTTATATCTTATATAATTTAATATAATACAATAATGTTTTTTTATTTTTATGGAATTATAAAAGCAAGCTTATTTATCATGTTAGGATTTTAAAGTGTTTATATAGTGATGTTTTTTTAGGTTCTTGTTGGGTCTGTTGCAACGTAATTTCGTTCTGCATTACAATTCTATTGTGATGATTTGAATGACATAAATAAAGGAAACTGAAACTGATTTTTATAAATAAACTTTATAACAAAACATTATATTTAATTGGTTTTCATAAATCATGTCTTTGTGGAAATGAATTTTATTTTCTTTACTGTCACACAGAGGCGTTGTAAGGGTACAGTATGTGTGAAACAAGTCAAAAATAAATGAAGGCTCAGCCGACATAGCACTATGGTGCAAAGGTGTGGTTATGTACAGTGCAAAAGTGTCCAATCAAAAAAAAAAAAATATATATATATATATATATATATATATATATATATATATATATATATATATATATATATATATATATATATATATATATATATATATATATATATATCGCTGAAGTCAGAAAAATTAGCCCCCTTTCATTTTCTTTCTTTTT